AGACATTTCTCTTCTCCCACTGATTTCACATGCAGTGGCAGTAGTACCAACAGCCTCCGTTCACTCTCTTTGAGCTGATATGGCTCTTGGTACCTTGCCTGTCACAGCACCCTTCCAAGTACCTCACAGGGCCGCAGAAACTGCCCTTGTCATCACCTTCTCACAGTGCTGCAGAAACCATCCTTCCTCCTGTGAGGTGTAAATACCACCTCATAACATCATCCGATCATTGCTGACCTCACACTGTAGACACGGGCATCACATTGCTCCCTCTTCCAGGGACCTCGGAGTCTACTTAGATCTCGTTGCCCCACCCTACTGATTTCACACTGTTGCAAGGACTTCCTTGACTCATCCTCCAGCCCCAGTGACTGCTTCTGCCTTCAGGTACCAGCTACTATCCAAAGTACATCCATCTACCTACTCTGTCCTCATACAGCTGCAGTACCATGCCTTTCACATCGCCTTTCCGTAGTGAACTCATAATCCTGCAGGTAAAACCACCATTACAAAATCCTGTCCCCAGGGACCTGAGAAGCTGATTATCACCTCAGTCATCCCCCCAGTAATTGCAACAATTTTTGCCCCTGTCATATCCCCTGGTATGTACTTTTTGCAGTCAAGCAGCTAATTCTGCCATGAACTCTAATCTGATGCAGACATTGTTAAATTATGGCACAACCCCCTTTAGACCTGTGACTAAGCCTGCCATAAGCTCTTGGAAAATTCCCCATGTAATAGCTTATTTCAATTTCTAGGCATGTGGCTAGGAATGCTCCTCAGTGACTAACCATTGTCTGTGCATCTGGAGCTTGGTCATTCAGAAGGAGCAGCTGATACACTTGTGCTAAATCCACTTTACCCTTCACTCCAGCAAAAGCAGAAAGGAACTGGTGCATGGCTGGAATCTGCTACAGATGTTTTGGCAGTGCTTTGCCTATCCCATGCTTGTAATCAGCACATATGTGACCTTCCCTGTTCAGTGTCATGATAGGCACAATGGGAGTGGGCCATGATGGTTTTACTACTTCTAGTATATGCTTGGTGATTCACTTCTGCATCAAACCTTGGATAGAAGATGAATGCAACATGAGAAGGCTTTGTTTGAATTGGTGTCATGGTCAGATTCAATGTAAATGAAGCAGGTAGGCCTTTGTACACACCTGGCTCTTCTTCAGCATCTTTGATGAAATCCCTAAGGACAATTCAGATCCTGCCAGCAGGCAGAACCACTAAAGCCTCACCCGGTTCCACACAGGGCCTATGGAAAGATGGGCACCGATCTCTTTATGTGGAACTCCAGGGTGTATTTAAGTTACTGATTATTACTTTTTGTATCTGGAAATCTGTACACTGCAATGTACCAGCAGTTGCTCAGTGATAGTTTGCTTGAAGGCCATATTTGCAAGGCATGGCATTCCAGATGAAGTATTAAGTGATAATGGGCCACAGTTCTCCAGTGCAGAGTTTAGGCATTTTGCCATGGACTGGGATTTTCGTTACACCACGTCAGGTCCCAATTATCCCCAGTCGAATGGCCTTGCAGAGTGATCGCTTCAGATGGTGAAAAACCTAATGAAAAAAGCATTGGACAGTGGAGGGGATTTATATAAAGCACTACTGGCTTATTGTAGCACACTTCTGAACAATGGCTGGTCTCAAGCACAGTTGTTAATGGGCTGGCGGATATGGTTGAATCTGCCCAGAGCTAACACCTTATTGGAAAGTCCTAACATGGTAGCCATAAGGAGAATGAAGGAAGATCAGAAGAAGAAACAGAAATATTACTTTGGTATAAGAGTTTGTTAGCTTTCACTACTAAAGCCAGGTGATAGAGTTTGTCTGAGGAATTACTAGTCGAGAACATGGGACCAGCAGGGTATGGTGGAACAGCTAGTTCACCCACAGTCCTAAGTAGTTCAGACAGACCAAGGGGGCATGCTTCGATGTAATCGATAAGACCTGCTTGTGCTTCCACTTAGCTCTTGGACATCGGTAGGAGATACGGACTTACATCAGCCTCAGTTAATGGTTCCTAGTTCCTCCTCCTCAGGTGAAGATACTAACAATGCAACAGAGAGCCCCCAAACCTCCAATGAGGAGCTGATACCCCAGAGATCCAGGAGACAGGTGAAATGGCCAGAAAGGCTCATAGAGGTCTGTGAATAAGTTAAAGGGACCTGAAGAATAGGGAAGTGCATGGTAAAGACTCACTCCAGAGTGAAATTCTGGTAACCTCTCCTCTGTACGTTATGGATTGTTTAGTGTGGTGATGGTTTTGTCTTGCATTGTTGTTGTTGTAGAGTTTTTGTTGTTATGTTGTGATGGTAATTTTTATTTAAAAAAAAAAAAAAAGGGAAGATATAGTGATAAGGGTTAGACTTTGGAGACAATCCCCTACAAAGGAATATCTTACCACATAAAAAAATTGAACATGATCCTTGGAGAGCAAAGAGAAATCCAGATGGAGGCAGCCACATCATCTGTGCTAGAGGAACATCCTGCTGTGGTGTCATTAAAGGTCTATTCTCTTTCTCATTCATAGTTGACATTATTCACTGTGGGACCTACATCATTACAGCTGGTGAGCGCAGGGAAGGGTGTGGGTTTTTCCCTCAGCCCCACTGGGAATTGAGGCCAAATCCTTCAAGGAACTGGACAGGGAAGTAGATTTAAATGCAAATCTGGCCCCTGGGATTCAGAGCTCATAAGGGATGAGGGGTGTGAGCTTCTCAGGGTGAGGAAACCAAGAGAAACATTTCCTGGGGTACCAGCTCAGGGCCTGGGTTTAGGCCTGTTGCCAGGGATGAGGTGCTCTGACTATCCAGAGTTGTGGTCAGAGAGACTTGGGGAGCTATGAGATTGTGGACTTTTATCTCTGGAGTTTCTCTCTCTCTGGGATGGGGGATTCCCAAGGGAAATCATTGGTGGATGGGAAGCCAAGCCTCACTCCAGACCATACATGGCCTTTGTGAAGATAAGTGGAGGGCCAGGACAGTCTTTCACATGTGGAAGGTTCCTGGTGTGAGAGGATTTCGTCTTGACAGCTGCACACTGCGCCCCTCAAGGGTGAGATCCCCTCTGTGCTTCCAGGCAGCAGCTGGACCGGTTTCATAGATGTTAGGGTTGGAAGGGACCTCAATAGATCGAGTCCGACCCCCTGCATAGGCAGGAAAGAAGGCTTGGGTTAGGGGACCCCAGCCAGAT